AGGTAGGACGTTACTATTTTTTTATACTTTGTCAAAAAAGGCATTTTCCCTTTTTTAGGATTACCCTATTATAAAATTATTATTAAAAAAGCAAAATTATTTTTTTGCGCCCTTCAAATTTAAACTATGCAATTTGGAATTTAGCTAATTAGTTGATAATTTAATCACACGTACATACTATTTTGTAATTCACAACGGGAATCCTCTACGGGAGGATCTTGTCAGTTTTGACCAGAAGATGTAGAAAAGTAATACAACTATGATAAAACCAGCGCCAGCGATTGCAGCAAGATAATTGTTGATACATGAACATTCTTCTGAATTATTAGGTGGAATTTTTGATGTAGTCATATTTAGCAACAATAAAGGATCGTCTGTCGTCGATATGATTGTTGAATTTTTTTCCGTTTGAGTGGATAAAACAGAAATGTCTGAAAAATAAATAATAATAGATGTTTTATTAAAAGGTTAAAGGACAGGTTTTATTTTGTTTCTAAACCGGCTGATGGCGCGGAATTTATATTATATATTATATTTTACCTTTTCAAATTATTTAAAATTTATAAAAGTTTTGTACAATACATTCATTTTTGTTTTAGACTATAGTAGACTACTTTATTGTCATACAGTCACAGCCTTTCTTACCATACAACTTGCCAAATTTTCATAGCTTACTCTGGTCTAAAACAAAAACGAATGTATTATACAGACTGAGTCACATGTAATAAAGACCCTGACCGAATTTCAGACGCAACTGAAAATACACACATTCTCAGATGCCATTATGCGTTACTTGTTGTACTGTTTGAAATTTTTCAAAATTATAACAATAGATTCCTGGAGAAAAGAGTGGAATTGATGACACTGACAAATTTAATCCATGACATCTTGCTTGTTTCTCCTAATACCTTACAAACCTTAGTAGTCATTGCGTACCTTCGCTTCGAGCTTCAATATTAAAACTTAACGCTGTAAAATTATACATACCTACCGCACGTATAATGTAAATAATTATTTAAAAAAATATACCTGTTGTTGTTGTTGTTCGCGTTCCTTTGACAGTCCCTGAAAAACTCACTCTATAAGAACTCTGACAGTAAAGAAGATAACGAAATGCGGTTTCTTTTGAACGATAGACATTCATTATTTCTATGGTCCAAAAATATTTTCGTCATTGTAGGTAATTTCTATATAGGGTGGCGCAAGAAAGTTATATTTTTTCTTATGGAACACCCGGTATATTATGCGCTTATTTGAAAGAGTTTTTAATTCTAAGAATATCCATATTAGGTTTGATGGGTCTATCATGGACCGTTTATCATTTATGGGCAATTTTATGAAAAAAAAGTACCATTTTTGAAAAATCACAAGAAAAAGTTAATAAAAACAATTTCAACTATTTTTACTGAGTCTGGTCCTAAATTATTATGGTTGAAATTCGATCAATTTTTTGCAACTACTGCAGAGTGTTGACATTCGCAAAATATCAACTTACTTGATTTTTTCAAATGAAACACCCTGTGTGTTATTACTTTATCGTGTAGAGCTTTTAATAAGCTTTTTAAAAAACTTAGCGTTTGGAGGTCTAAACTTTACCTGTTTTATTGTACACCCTTTAAACCTACAAAATTTTAACTTATCCTATTTAGCCTTAAAAATCAAGTAGGTTTGCGTTACTTCCTCTTCTAGAAAAGTTAATATTTTAAAGTTACATTATCACCATACATCAATCAAGTTTGTTAGAAAATCTAGAATTATGTAGCTACAGCATGATTGAGCTGCTGTTCATTTTGATCGCATTGTGCGACAATTTTTACCAACGCAACATATTTCCTAATCGATATATTGGGAGGGGAGAACTATTGTCTGGCCACCGCGATCTCCAGATTTGACTATAATTGATTTCTTTTTATTGGGGTGTGTTGAAGAGAAGGTGTATCGAACAAGATCTATCACTCCAAATGACATGAAGGAAAGAATAATTGAAGCCTTTAATGACATCTCTGTTGAAATGCGTAGGGCAATCAAACTTTTCTTTATGCGTAGACTAGACGTCGAGGAATGGCAAGATTTTTAAATATTTGCTATAGAATTAATTAGATTTTGAAATTTTTATAATTAAGGTCTTACATTGAATTCAAATTCCAATCAGCGTTTCTTGAGTTATACTCAGTATATAAACAACCTGTTTTCGTAACTGATGTATGGTGACAACATAACTTTAAAAAAATTATCTAATTTTTTTAGAAGAGGAAGTAATGCAACCCTACTTGATTTTTAAGGCTAAATAGAATAATTTAAAATTTTGTAGGTTTAAAAAGGTGTACAATAAAACAGGTAAGGTTTAGACTTCCAAACCTTATGTTTTTTAGAAAGCTTATTAAAAGCTATACACGATAAAGTAATAACATACAGAGTGTTTCATTTGAAAAAATCAAGATAATTGATATTTTGCGAATGTCAACGCTCTGCAGTAGTTGCAAAAGATTGATTGAATTTCTACTATAATAATTTAGGACCAGACTCAGTAAAAATGGTTGCAATTGTTTTATTCACTTTTTTTTTCTAGCAAAGCCGTTGTGATTTTTCAAAAATGGTACTTTTCTTTCATAAAATTGCCCATACATGATAAACGGTCCATGATAGACCCATAAAACCTACTATGGATATTCTTAGAATTAAAAACTCTTTCAAATAAGCGCATAATATACCAAGTGTTCCATAAGAAAAATATAATTTTGATGCGCCACCCTATATAGAAATTACATATAATGACGAAAATATTTTTGGACCATAGAAAAAATGAATTTCTATCGTCCAAAGGAAACCGCATTTCGTTATCTTCTTTACTGTCAAAGTAATCGAAGAAATACTGAGCCCTGGGACACCCTGTATATGTCAAATAACTGTCTTGAAATTAACGGAACTTTTTACAAGCATCAACTGATCAGCTACCTCAACTTCAGAAAATCCTCTTTCCATCATTGTAATTATTTTCACTTTGTTAAAGTAAGAGACTGCCGCCATAATAAATGCATTTTTTACGAAATGCCCAGGCGGGATATTGATACATTTGATTAAGGAGACACATCCTAGACGGTAGGAATAAGCAATGATTCGTGTACCATGAAGCGTTTACTTTCAGATGGATCACATATCGTTTAATAATTTTACCGATTTAAAGCGGTAATCGAAATTAAAACAAAATCACCTTTCAAACACACAGCTGCCATGACGCATTAAAGCAAGGAACGGTCACGAATATAAACGAAACGACGGTTCAAATTTACGCATTATTTCAGTAATGTGAGTCACAATTGACTCACACTGTATACTTACGATTAGTGGTTCTCCAGAATTTGGTAACGGCAGCTGGTGTGATATTATCGTAACTTCCATACATTTCTAAATTACAGTTGATCTTTTGAATATGGTTATTTGATGGCGGTGACAATTCGATTTCGTTCCATCCGTAGAGAAAAAAATTATTTGAAAACAACTACAAAATTTTTGAATTTATATTAAATACTATAATATTATATTCTGTTCTAAATACCAAACGAGGTCCTTCATCAGATCGTACTGTTTTATTGACAATTTCATTCCCACATTTTAATCTCAAGTTCATTGAACAAATTGAACATTGAGCAATACGAACATATATTGATTCACATATTCCCAAGCTAATATTTGAGTTAATAATTTTTACGGATTGCGTTTGGTCGTCACTAGTTGTTGTTGTTGTCACCAACTCATCTAAAACACGTTATAGAATTATCAACAAGATGAATTACCACCTAGAATTAGAACTTCCCTCAAACCCCGACAAAAGCGGCACAAGCAACGCCTCTAGTGGTAAATGCAATAAACTAGGAAGCATTTTAGGGCAAAATTTTTAACTTTCGCGGATTTCCTTAAGAAATTTCCACTTATTTTCCTTCTATAACTAGTAAACGGGCAGTAATCGTATCGTGCGAGATTTGCTTACAATGATTTAATTAAATAAAATAAAAATAAATAAAAAAATTGTAAATTTGTAAATAATTTGTACATCAAAATTACGATTGTATTTTATATCAATCTTTTCAAAAAAATCCTGCGCGTCTTTCTAAAATAATGGATTTGTGAACTGACTTTGTTTAAATATAGATATAATATATTCACTAAACTCCCGACATGTCAAAATGACAAGTTAGTTAAACAAAAAATCACTGTGGCTATGTTGGTGACAACTTTACTCAAGGTTTAACAACCTGGTCGATAACACTTGATTTGAAATTATTTAATTATTATCGTTTGACGCATATGCCGTGTACCATGGAAATTTGACATCAAATACAGTCAGATGAAATAATAGTCATCTGTGTCGTTTAAGATACACTCAAAAATTTTGGCTTGACATTGTAAACGTCACGGGAGTTTTGTGAATACATAATATTCATTAAAAATTTGAAAACAACAGTGTTTTATTTTTATTACATAACGTTTGTTGAATTAGTTGAAAATTAATATTATGTAATTAATATTCTGTAAAAAATACCAAAACCCTAAAAAGAATCTTTAGGTCTACCGTTAAATAAAGTGTTAAATAACATCAATCACAATATCTCAAAAACAAAACACTTTTTTAAAAAAATGCCAACGCATCGGCCTATAAAATATTCTTATAAATTATCCTACAATAAACCAAGATCGATTACTTGAAAAATAACTGAGTAAAGTTGTTTTGAAGATCAACATTTTTGCATTTTTTTCTTTTTTAAATGGTTTTACATTAAAAAAAGTCAACGTTTCGGCCTATAAAATTATTATAAAAAACCTTTTTGCGCGGTATATTTTTTCAAATTTTAACACTTATAGGTCATTAATAGACTTTTTCGACTTTGCGTTCGTACTAAGTCCTAGAGGCGTACATTGCAAAACGTCTTTGACACCTTCGAAATTCATTTTTACGAATAAAATAATGACGTTTCACATTAATTTATTTCATAGCCATCTAGCCACTGCGCAATGTTGTCAACTGCCTCAAAATTCTCTACATTCAAAAATTTTATTTTTGTTTTGTTTAAAAAAGTGCAATGTAGAAAAAATACTGTATAATATCCCATTTATAAGGCATAAGGCACAAAATGCTTCTTATAAAACTCGTGTTACAATACGTATATACTATTACCAACTCGCTGGGACACCTGAATGAATATTTTCAAGACCACGCGACCTAGCAAAATTATAAAAGTATATCTGAGCTTCTGTTAACGTTTTCTATCACCATATAAAAGATTATCCCACCTTTTTGAATCACCGTGTATACCAGTTTTCCAAAATTTAGTAGGTATACGTATGACAATTATTGTGTTCATAAGAGTAGCTATACAATGACTAATGAAACTTACATTGTGTATAAGCAACTGGCATTTTCTTATCACTTTGCATTACTACTTTGGTGATGTTAATAGTCTTAGTAAAGTCCCTGCATCTTGTTATTTTTCCTTCATACTCAACCAAAATAGATAATGTCGACACTACTTTTTTCCAAGAAATATACACAATATCGTCTGGCAATGGTGATTGGTGTCTGTACCGTTGAATTTCAATAAACTAAAAAAATACTACATTGTACAAAGTGGTTATAAATGATTTTCATCTAGCCAGCTTTGAATTTTCCATGTAAAATAAAACGCTTTACGAAAATAGGGGTACCTACTTGTTTTAACTCAAAATTAAAAAATCGCCGTTTAATAAGCGTCCTCTTCGAAAATAGACTTCAATTATAAACTTGCTTTCTTCCAAAGTATACATTCTTATCAATTATTATTGGAAATTAGTTGAAACAATAAAAGTTTAATTAACAACAATTTAATATTAATTAATAAGTGACACTAATGACAGAACTAGAGCTTTCAAAAAAGTAGAGCGGCACAAATAAACTTAAATGCAAAAAAATTCCAAAGCTGGCTAGATGAAAATCATTTATAARCACTCTGTATAAAATTTAAAAGAATGATTGAAGCAACAGTAAATTAAAGTTAAGTTAAGAACAAATTCTGAGAAAATTATTTAGATACTAATGTTTTTCAAACTTACGGCATCACTGCATTCTTCTAATAATTCACAGAAATTGATCTCTTCACATTTTGCAATCGTCACCATGCTACCTTTAGAAATAGAAATTTTATAATTTGGGAAATCTGGAAATTTTGATTCATAAAGGTGAAAAGTTGTCCCTGTGATATTTTTCAATTTAAGATACACATTTTCTTCATTATTTGAGAACGTAAATTCCAAAGGTGTATAACGTGGTAATAATGAACAAGTGTTTCCAAAAGATTGCTCAACTTGTTCTGCTGTTAGTGGCGATCCATGTTCGAAATACTTTGTTGGGTTGTTCTCATAGAAACAATAACCATCTGAAATATCTGTAATAAAAAAACGCAATAAAAAAAATAGAACAAAATGCTAAAAAACTATTTTTTTAGGTATATTCGAATTACGGTTGGCTAATCTAAAATGATGCCCTGATTACCTACATCATATTGTTAAGTCTAGTTAAAAAAAAATTGATCCAGATTGTAATTGCCCTTTAATAATAAAACAAAGTGAGCTTTGCGTATTTATGACAATAAATAATTGTTGTTTAATCTACCGCAACACGAAAAAAAATCAACAATTTAGAGGGGAAATCGTTTTACGGTGTGAAAATTTCCGTGGTGTATTCTCAGATCATGTTGTGATGGCCGGGATGGTTAATGCCAGCTTATGCATTGTTTCTTCCAACACATAATCATGTGTTTTACTATGATCATCAAGATATAATCAAATTTTACTTTGGATTAAATAAAATTAACATTAAATGTGACAGCATTGACAGCTATGTCATTCGTATTGAATTGTTTCCAAGGTAATGGTACTAGAGATGGGTAGTTCGCGAACGAACTAATAAATAGAACGATTCTTTTATGCGAACTAGTTCGCGAACTATGAACGTACTAGTTCACAGCAAACGACAACTTTGTCTTTCGTTCTGTCGAGGTCGTTCTTTTACGCGAACGAATCTAATCGAACTGAGAACTTGTTTGTTGGCAAGCGGCGAACGAGTGAAATCTCAACTACGTGAAAAGAGCGAAGACCGATGCGTCATTGTGCAGCGTGGTTTCCAATTCATCGTTTGGTGGTTGTAATTTTGTATATAAACCTGACTAATTTAAAAATTTGACGCTTGAGTTTAAAAATTTTAGTTAAAATTCAGACTTACCTACCACCTACATAAGTACTTTTTTCAGTTAACAGTCAATTTTCACCAGTTTTACTTTAATTTGTAATAAAATTGAGGCGGTCGTTAGAATATTTTTATTCAAACTAATAGGCAAATAACAAAGAATAATAAAAAAATAAAAATAACAAAAATGTGTAAAATATAAAAATTTAAATATTGAAAATTATAAAATACAGAGTGTTCCGTCTAAATCCCACTTTAGAACTATTGGCCGTTGGAATAATCGTATTTATTTGAGAATTGGTACATAGCCATAAACCATTAAGTCCTCCTAAATGAAAATATTTTCAAGATGGCGGCACTTCCGGTTATACCGGAAGTCGGTCTCAACTTTCTTATTTTTAATAGAAAGGTATATTTTTTACTGCGTTTTTGGATTAACCGGATTATTTTAAGGGAGTTTTCATCAGATTTCCCTATACCTAAATTTAGCCATTTTTGGAATATTTGGAGTTTTTCAAGAATTTTTGGATCTGCACCTTCCACTTTAAAAACCGGTAACTCTGCTATTTTTTAAAATTTTGAATTCGTTTTTTTTGGCGTTTGAAAGAGAAAGTTTAGATCTTTCTTTCGGTGTTTTCAAATTTTGAAAAAAAAATAACAAACCAAAAAATTTTAAGGTTACTTTTGTAATAATTCAAATACCCATAACTCAATTTTTTCAAATGAAATACCCCAATTTTTATTTTACTAAATGGAGGAGAATTTAATTCTGCATCGATCTGTATTAACATTCCCTATACCTAAATTTAATAATTTTTAAGTTATGGTGACTTTTTGTTGAGATTACCGAAAATCTGTTATTAGCCACATTCGTTTTCGTATAGTTTGCTATGGAAATAAAAAATGTCAAAATTGTTTCTCAATAAATGTCGACAGTGACTTATTATTTGACAAATAGTGCTAAACTTAGATTTAATTAATTTATTTTGTATTTTTGGAGAGTGTAACAAAATTATGATATCGTTCATTAAACAAAAATAAATTTTTCTCACTTGTTAGCTTTAAATAATGATTGCATGGTAGAAACTATCAATAATAATTAAGTTTGCACAACTTTGATTCTCCATATTTTGGCACTATTTGGCAAATAATAAGTCACTGTCGACGTTTACTGAGAAACAATTTTGACATTTTTTATTTCCATAGCAAACTATGTGAAAACGGGTATGGCTAGTAATAAATTTTCTGTAGTATTAAAAAAAAAAACCATAACCTGAAAATTATTAAATTTAGGTATAGGGAATGTTAATACAGATCAATGCACAATTAAATTCTCTTCTATTTAGTTAAATAAAAATTGGGGTATTTCATTTGAAAATATTGAGTTATGAGTACTTGAATTATTACAAAAGTAACCTTAAAATTTTGGGATACGTTTTTTTTTTCAAAATTTGAAAACACCAGAAAAAGGATCTAAGCTTTCTCTTTCAAACGGCAAAAAACGAATTTAAAATCTAAAAAATGGCAAAGTTAACGATTTTTAAAGTGGAAGGTGCAAATCCAAAATTTTTGAAAAACTCCAAATATTTCAAAAATGGCTAAATTTAGGTATAGGGAAAGCTGATGAAAACTCCCTTAAAATAACCCGATTAATCCAAAAACGCAGTAAAAAATATACCTTTCCATTTAAAATAAGAAAGTTGAGACCGACTTCCGATATAACCGGAAGTGCCGCCATCTTGAAAATATTTTTATTTAGGAGGACTTAATAGTTTATGGCTATGTAGCAGTTTTCAAATAAATACAATTATTCCAACTCCCAATACTTCTAACGTGGGGTTTAGACGGTACAGTCTGTATATAGAAATTGGTTATTATAATTATTTGACAAATAACAAAGAATCATAAATTAAAAAACATAGTTGTGACAAAAGTTGGTTAGTACTTATTATAATTATTAGACAAATAATAAAGCATACCTAAGCGAACATTAAAATATAAAAATAACAAAAATGTGTAAAATATTGGTACTTACTTATACATATAAAAATTATAAATTATGATTAAGGAACACAATTTGGTTTACTTTGGACGAAGTGAAACGGTTTCGCCTTGCTGATAATACCTGTCCAGCCTTTGAAAAAAATCTCTCACAAGGTACAGAAGTAGCTACTACACATAATCGTCTTTTTACCATCTCAAAAAGTCTCGGGTAAATCATTTTTCTTTGCTTCCACCACAGTAAGGGATCGGCCGTCTTGTTCAAAAGTGGTTCCTGCAAATATTTGTCTAACTCCACGATGACAGCTGCCGTTGGATTTTCACTTTTTGGTGAAACTTTTGCCAAAATGAATTTTCGCCTGGCTGATTTAAAGCAGTAGATGCTGAAGATTCCTCAACTTGATGAATTGGTTCGCTCTCGCCTAATTTTATAGTCCTAAGTTTTTTTTTAAGAATTTCAATGGCATTGTTGAACTTTTCATCACTGGAGAATCCAAATTTCTTGAAACGTGGATAAAGAATTGTTGCTTGCTCGATAATTTCATTCCCATCCACATACTTGAACCTTTCGATCAATAACTCCTTTAATTTCTTTGCCATGCTTTGAACTTCAACGGGCAACGTTGAATCATTGCAATATTCGGCGATTTTCGGGTTCATAATTTGGAGAATAAGAGGAAGTTTCGACACTGTAACAAATTTCTCCGCACTTATTTCCGTGGTCACATCATCGAACATTTTTATCATGTTTACTGTTTTTTCCACAATTGCCCATTCCTCGATCGTTAAATTTTCTAAATTACATTGCAAAAAAAATTCTATTGAGCATTTCATACGTTAAATTCCAGCGGGTTACAACATCTTGTTTAAGTTTTAGATTTGGCAGATTCATTTGTTGTTAGATTGAATGTAGCCTTGCGAGTGCATGTGAACTACGCTTGAAAAATTCGACGATTGAGTTTATTTTTTCAATGATACCGAAAATTTCCTTCAGTCCTTTTTGCACCACACGGTTTAAACTGTGTGCAAAGAATGGTATGTGCCGCCAATTACATAATTTAATTGCAGCAACCTCATTGGCGGCATTGTCGGTAACACCGCAAATAATTTGGTCACTAATGCGAAATTCTTTAACACAGTTTTTTAAATGTTCGGATATATGTATTTTCCGATGTATGTCGTCCAGGAAAAGTCAAACACTCTAGGAGCGCTGATTTCATGTCTAAATTAGAATTAAAATAATGGAGCGTGATAGCGGTAAAACTTTAGTTATTCACTGATGTTCAAAAATCTGTTGTTAAAACACACTGCTCGAGTTTCCCTTAAGCCCACATTAACTTTTTCTGCCGTTTGTAAATATAATTGTTCTAATAAAGTCGTAGACACAGTTTTTCCCGATTTAAATGCTGGTGCGAGAGCTGCTTCTCATGAAAAAATTGCTTTAAAAACCGTCCTTTCCGGTCGGTCCCAAAACCAAAATAATCAGCAAAATCAACAGAATAGACCATCAGTCATTCAACCCAATCCAAATTATCATCGACATCAAAATTATCAAAGTCAACGAAATAATAATAATAGAGTTCATTCTTTAAACTCTCAAACGAAGACGGAATTTTGGGACGACCGTTCTCCAACTTTCGAAACGTCCCAAAACCACCAAAACAACGACAATATCAAAATTTCGACGAATCAATTTCGGGAAGAAATCGATTCCAAACTAATGAACCAGTGCGAAAAATTTTCGTTATATTAAACAAACACTCTTGCGACGCAAAATCTTTATTAGGTCAAGGACAAAGCAGGTGTACAATATCTTATCGACACAGGAAGTCCCATTTCCTTTGTTAGATATAACGCGATGAAAGATCGTTTAAATCCAAAATCAATAAAAAATGAAAATTTAGTAGTTAACGGAATATTTTCTGATCAAACCTTTACAATAAATAAAAGTGTTAAAATATTAAAAATAAAATAGACCACACACCTTATAAATTTTATTTAGTCGATGATGGCTATTTAAATTTTGACGGTTCTGACTTTTTTTCAAAATTTAAATGTGTCATAGATTACGAAAAAATGAGCGTAAAAACTAACTTCGGTACTGAAATTCCTCTTTATCTCGATGAAAATTCCAACGAGATAACATTCGAAAGTACTGCAAATTCTTCATCACCCCCACACAAAGATAAT